CAATCCACGCGCAGCGAACTCGGCAGGTGACGCAATATTCGTAACAATACATTAGACTCCTCTTACTTTCTCAACTGGAAACTACTTTTTGACAGGTTTTTGACTTCTTAAAAAGTCACAACCACACCCCCTTTTATAGGCTTCGGGAGGTGGGGGGGACTGTATCTTTATGCATGGGCAAATACAATAATTTTCAATTTTTAAATGCATAGTTGCAAGATCTATAAATATAAATAATAATTCAAGATCTGCTTTGTAACAGGATTGAAACATAAAACTGGAGATTGAATGAACAAGAAAAGATTAAAAACCTTTCCTACACAATTTGTAATGAGACCATATGTAAACAGGTTCAGAATAAATGTTACATACATCTAGGGAATGTTAGGGGAGGGGGTCAAACTGCAAATGAACATGTGTGAAATGTCACAAATCAAAATTACGTAAGTACCTTTTTTGACAGCAGGCCTCTAATTGCTAGGCACCTAATTCTGCACTGGTGTCTCACAGTGAAGTCAATTACACTAATATTCATATTGATGTAACCTGATCTGATATTTCCCTGATGAAAGTAATTGCATTGCATCAACTCACTGCATTATGTTTATTGTTTATTATAGCTCGATAAGTTAAAAAATAAATGATTTAAAAAAAGTTAGAATGATACATCAGTCAGTGAGCTATGAAATAAAGTGAAACTTTCAATATGCAATTGTCCATAACATATAACAGAAATTTTGGAGTATGGTTTCTATGTTTTTGATAGATACCCAGGGATATTCCAAAAACAATCAGTTTTGATTTTGATTGAAAAATACAAATATTTTATTCAGTCATTTTGTTTATCCTGATACATTCAGACTGAATTCTCATAGCAAGACTCTGCTTACTATGCAACTATGGTCACGTGACAGCAAAGCTCCAGCCAGGGAGGAGGCCACCTGCCATTAAAAATTTGCTGCATTAGGGAGCAGCACCTTTTTTGTATACTTTGTTCAGAATTGTTGTACTGTATACACTAAGTTACTGCAGTATTCATGAAAATGTTTTTGTTAGAATATTTAATTTGTTGTAGTGTTCTATGGTTATATGGTGTTCTTGAGCAGTGTGTGTTCTACTTTTTGGAAAACCATTTCATGTGGGTTTCTTCAATAGCATTTTTGCAGCCAAAGGCCACATATATTATTTCTGTGGTATAGATCCCTTTTGTGGGTTTAACATCCCACCAATCTCCTTCAATGATATGTTAAAAAAGAAAGAGAATTTCATGGAGTGGTGATGAACTGCACTTTCACTTTGCAAATATTAAGGATTTATTAAAATAGCACACCTAAATCAAGCAGATGCTAATGCAATTCTCAACCCTCAGATATCTTAATGGTCTGTTTTCTGAAACATTGATCTTCATTTCTCAAATATGTTTGTTCTTAGCATTTCAACATTGTTATCCAAAGGCCCCAAGTTTAGCTTCTCAAGCTTTAACTTACTAAATGAGATATTTTGGGATCTTCTATTGAATTTTGTGGTCACCCCACTTTGTATTAAGAGTGGGAACATGCACAAACTCTAATTATATGTTAAAATTATTATTTACTTTTTTATCTATATTTTTTTCATCTTTATCAGACTGTATTTGGTCCTTTATTTCTGTCTTTAAAATAAAGGACCAAATACAGTCTGTCCAATTATGTGCGAAATTGTATTGTATTTCATTTTTATTTTATAATCTGTAAGCAAATTTAATGTTATGTATTTATAAATTTTATGCATTTTATTGAACAAGGTTTTCTAACCTTTTTTCAGGTTCATATGATTGTAGGGAGAAAGTGGGGAAATGTTTTCCACAAGCAAGAGTTCTTGCATAGGTGCGCGAGTCAGTTCATACTTTTGAGTGAATTCACAACACCATCTATTTGTAAGGATATTTTAGTACTCTTTTAGGATCCCATATCTGAAATTCAAATTTATATTGATTACATTTTTTCACGGTTATAATTCTGGGCCTACCTTTTTCCATTGCTTGGTCTTCTTCATTTTCATAATCTACTTTAATAAATGCTGATAAAGCCACCTCAAAGACCTTGTTGGGATCAGGTGGAAGACTAGCAACAGCACGACGCTTTCTACCATATCCTACTACTCCATTACTGCACTCCACCTAAAGACAAATAAAGTGAATTAAGAAGAGTTGATATACAGAATAAATGTGCTGAAATCCCAGTTGAGATACACATTTATTAGAAAGAATTAATATTTCAATTCTCAGAACATAATTTTCACATGTAATGAAATTTTATATTAAAGCTAATTCTCGATTATAGGGGAGCCTTGTATCCATAAAATTAACTTTTTAAAATGGAAGATTGTAATGAAATATATTTTTGAAAATCTGGAAGTGAAGTAATTATCATAATTCCTTTCAATTGAGAATTCCACAATTCCAAGGGATGTGCATTTTTAACGCCGAGTCATATTTGCATCATTATTTGGACTGAACCCAAGAGGACATCTGTGCTGAAATAATGATGAAATAAAATTTAAAAATTATTTAATTTTATATGTGTTCATCTGTTTTTTCTTCATTTAGATAATGGATTACATAATGTAGAAACCTAGGTGCAAAAAATATATATTTTATTTAATAGTGAAAATTAGCACTAAACCTTTTACTAGTCAATAAAAGGATCTATTTGGTAGATGAAAAATAACAGAATGAGAGAACACAAAGAAAAAATTGTGATTGTTGAATAGGATGAGAGAATGATATGCAAACAGATAATAGTAAAAATTTAAGTGAGATTTTAAAGGAGATGAATTGAGTATAGAAAGTGTTTCAGTTATTGAAAATAGAGTAAGATTCAATGTGTGGGTGAGAAGAAAGCATAGAGAGGACAAGCATTGGATTATGAGAAGGAAACCACACTATTTTATGTAGAAAATGATAGAACAAAGGAAGAGAAAAATTAAGAAAATACTAAGAAAGGGACAGAATGGAAAGGAGTAGTTACAAAAGAGAGCTACTTGGATTTTGAAAGGTTTGAATGAAGAATGAAATGTGGAGTGTGAAAAAGGACTGTTTTTAAAAAGCATAGAAAGAAATTAGAGAGTAATGCTGGTGGAAGTGAAGGTTTTTGAAATATATCAGGTAAATACTTGAAACATTTTGATATTATAGGATTGTCTACGACCTGTGATATCAGATGCAAAAGTGGAAATGAATGTTTCCTAAGGAAAAGAAAAGACAATGTAATGGTGTGGTTGAAGTGTATGGGAGAGGAAAGTCTAAGGGAGAATTTTAACAGAAGTGACTGATTCAATTTTTTGACAATAAATCTAAATCTAAGTGAAAATTTGAGTGAGCTTTATTCTACAGATAAGTTGTATTTTAGTTATTAAGTACTTAAGTACATAGTTATTAAGTATTTAGATATTAAGTACTTAACATTTAGAATCAAAGCTACAAAATTTGAACAGATGTTACTCACCCCGCGACATTTGCCAAGACAGACAGTAACAGTTCCACGGAACTGCACAAAGGAGGATTCAGGAAACTTGAAGGCACGAAATTTGGCAGACAGGAAGTCACCATCGACTGTGTTAAAATTGTCAAACAAATATGGATCGACAGAACACCTAGAGGGAAAAGAATTAAAACAATTTCATAATCATGATTTTTATCCTAGAATTCAGCACCATTTCAAATTAAATAGTAATCTCTCATTTAGCCATAAGTACTGTATTATTGTAGTTGGATGAATAATATTATTTCTAATTATGTCACCCAATTTTTTTCTGTAATTTATATTATGATAACTGTGGTGAATACTCAACCATGCTATTATTTTCCCCAAACAAATTAAAAGAATATAAAACAACCAAAGTTAAATAATTATAAATGAAATATTGCTCCATTGTCCCAATGGTCAACAGAGAAGCTGTCACTGTTCCAAAAATATAGAATAAAAACAAAGGGAATATTTCGATTGTTAATAAAAACATGTCACATAACTTAAATTTACCCATGAAATTAAGCATTCCTACATTACTTTTTTGTGGTGACTTGTCATTATAAAATAAAAAACAAACACATTTCATTAATTATTCTAGCATTTTAAGGAAAGATTTATCTTGGTAACGAAGCAAAAAAGCAAAACAAGCAAAAACATTTCAGCAATAATGTTGATCTAAATTAAATTTTCAAGCTCTGAAAATCGTGGGTTTTATATTATATTGCTAACATATTTATTGCAGGATTCTTTTTGAAATGAAAATCCTTCGTGATATATTTTAACAAATTTTTATTCCAAATTTTCAAAAAACCTTTTTTTTAATTCATGCAGTTTTTACAACTTGTTTTAGATGCGTGTCAGTTTTCAAATACACAACTTTATATTGTAATTGTGATGTAATTTTTACGATGTCCACATGAAAAGGTTATGCAAGAAGTATAGGTTCATCCATGGTCTTACAATCACTAAACAAATTATTATATTACATTCGAATTCTATTCGCATGTCATCTTGCATGTTGGCGCATACTACTCTTACAGCACACCTACGAAGGCCAGAAAGCGAAAGTACCGGGTTGCCCCTAATGTGCTATGCGCTGAAGGCGTTCAACTGTCCCGCATTTCCCTCCTGAAGCCTTTTTCCCTTGTACGGAGGGGTCCTCCTCTTCCCCATCCCATCCGCAGCTCGCGGGTGAATTTCTGGACTCGCCGAGCGCGAACCGTTGGCCATTGCTCGATGAGCAACTGAGTTGACCAGGCCAACTTTATATCTAATTGAGCAGGCTAATTGATCTGCTTTAGAGCTAGTATGTTAATAATGCTTTCTAGTGATGCTTGTGGTGTGTGTATACTATTATAAGTCGGGGCTCATGGTTTTCTATATGGGGAAGGCTACAAATGCATTGTATTTCAATACATAATCTCTTCCGATAAATGCATATAGGAGAAGCGCTCCTACCACATATTGGGAAACCTACTTTATGCTACTCGCTGAGCTGCATAGTAATGCTATATGGTGAGCACGCCCTTATTCAGACCTAGGCCCCACCCTTGAAGACGGCCAGGCTGCAGCCTTCGTCCGCCGGTAAGCCTCTGCTGTGAACGTGGCCAACGAGACTGCCGTCTCTCTCTCGTTGATCACGGCTGTGAATGCATGACGTCACGCGTCCTCGTTTTACACAGGCCTGATGGCGTTATGAAGTGGGAGCCTATCGCTTTTCTCTTTCCTGACAACAGCTTTAAATGCGTTACGGCCGGCCGTTAATGAACAAAGAAAAATTGTGATGTGATTGTTACATAATATAACTCAGAAATCACTTATTAATAGATAGATAAATAAATAAATAAACAAATAAATAATTTTTTAGACTTATTTAGGGAGGCGATTTCTATAGTAAAGGCCTCACCTTACAACATTTAATGATTCAGATTTAGATTTATTTAGTCAAAAGACAGCAAAAACTGGACGTTATGTATGGGAGAGAACGCGAGAGTCTGCGCACGTTTTCTTGAGTTGCAGAATCCCTTCCTGTCATTTTATCATAAATAGTTGAAAGACGAGTCAAATATTAAAATAAATAAATAAAAATAAATTTTAAAAAAGTGCAAGATTAACAATATTTCAAAAAATAGACATTTGTGTTCCCGAGTTATAGAAAACTTATTTGCATCGGTAAACGAATTGCAAGTATGATTTTACTGCATTGGTAACAAAATAGAAACTCGCCCTTACATCTACTTCTACCATTGCAAGCAAAAGGAGAGTCCAACAAAACGTGCGCATAGCGAAGCTACATTTACGTCTAGAAGCAAAACAAGGGACTATCTCAGCATTTGCTCAATGGATCAAGGAAACTGGAAAAAACTGATCGAGATGGGGGTCATTGACCCAGAAGGTGAAGTAAATTATTTGTTTCAAACATATTAAGTCTTTAAAAAAATATACAATAAAATTTAAACTAATTCAATATATCACTGTTTTGTTAAAATAAACATTATTTTTCTTTTTGTTAATCAGTATAGCCTCTAATTGCATAGAAACAGTTATGTAGCAGAAAAGATTTTACTTTCAACTTAACTTTGTGAACCTTCTTCAATTGTTTAATGCGTGCGATGCCTAATGCGCTTATTATAATATAATAAAGATATTAAGGAATATGTTAACGTCTATTACATCGTTCAATTGAAATTACAACAGACACTACAATATTAGCCTGAAGTCTAGTATACGGTACAACTTAAGGAAGTCGTTTAAATCGGCAGTTCGTGCCGTTCCGGCGAGGGGAAAATCCACGCTGGAGGGGCAGAAGGGTGTTATGAGGGGAACCTTTCGGTGAGGAGGGGTGGTGAACAATATGCGTAACGTAGTACATACATAAAAAAACAAAGCGTGGGCGATTTATATAAATTGTAAAAAAATACGCTTCTGAAATAATTTGAATGGTTCGTAATTGGTCACGAACGTGATGTCAAAAGTTCGGGGTAGGGGAAATTTCTCTCTAATATCTTGTCGAAACTTCATTACGAAATGGTGTGTGGTGGGACGTAAACCGTGTATCAACGTGATTCTGTGTCGGGAAGCTGTCGAAGTTTTAAGCTACGTTGCTGTCGTATAGTTAAGTTTCTTGCGTTCTTCAGATTCTTTGCGATTTGTATATTTGAGTGTCAAATGGCTATGTACGATGGTGAGAATAAATGTGGGTTTTTTGCGCGTTGCGCAAAAGGGGGCGTTTGGCTTTCCTTGAATGGGCGCGAGAACGAAATTTGATTGCTGCAGGATTTAAGTGTGCTGTGTGTTAGTGACCTATGAGGTTGGTCAAGCGAAAGATGTGTGATGGTTTCGAGTGGAAATGTAGCAAGAAAGGGCCACTCCTCATGTGCGTAAGTGTTCCGTGCGGAAGAGGCCATGGTTTGCGGGGAGCAAGTTGAGTATAATTCAGGTATTAGTAATGACGTATCATTGGGTTATAGAATCGTCAGTCAAATCGCCATAAAATGGCGTATCGGTAAGTTTCATTCATTTCTGTCAGAGCGCTTAGCGCAATTTGAAGGAGGACTAGAGGAGACCCCTCCACCCCTTCCCCCTCCTCCCTCTTCCCCTACCCTACCCCTCCCCTCCTTGCCGCCACTCTTCTCTAAGGGTGTACGGTGTACCCTACTTTAGCCCAATATTATTTTTTCTTATAACTTATTAAAGTAATTTTCTAAACTTTATTACTATATAATAAAGAATTGTCAATTTCTTCGAAATTAAACTTGATTGGCAATATACAACATACACTTCCTCAAATAGTTGCTCATACCCTTTCATCTCCCAAGAAAACGTTTCTTGGGAGCGTGTAAGGTCTCATTGTAAGTGAAAGTTTCGGAGGCTAATCGATTCTTATTACCTCGCAATATTTCTGCAATCTAACATCGCAGGAGCTCATGGCTAGCTCTTGGTCAGCGTACGCGCTTTCCAATTCGCTACCCCGGCTTCGATTCCCGGTCGAGTCAAGACTATAGTGTGCGTTTTCCTTGCAATGTTACAGTATACATTGATGTGTGACGATGAGAAAATTCACTTTGTTGAAAAGACCGTAATACGGGAGGGGGATGTCTACGTTCTAGCTACACGTACCCCATTAACTCATGACAGCGAGGCAGGAACGTCGCCGGTAGGCCTGAGCCCGATCACGGGCTGTCGCATCAAGTACATACATACAAAATCGCAGAGAGCTTATTTTTTACCTAAACACAAGTGAAGAATGTCCCCTCACTTCACCATTCATCACTAGGCTTCAAAGTATTCTTATTTAAACTAAAATTTATTGCAAATTTATTTTCAATATTGTGGCAGTCAGTACATAATTGATGTTTTACAATTGACTGCGTCACAACATTCCTTTGGTCTAACCACACTAACCCTTTGGTTTAACTATGACTAAATATGTTGAAGCAACATTTCAGTAAACAACTTCAAGCGCCGTACTCTTACAGTGAAAAGCTCAAAGCTTTATACGCACCCGTTGAAGACAATGGTTTCTTCCTGAGCCTTGGTATCAGACACGGTCATATGGGACACTAGGAGACCATATATCGGCGCAGCGACTTTGTCCAGGAAGATCTCCATGGTGAGCGGCGTCCCTGGGTTGACGTTGAGCTCTCCGGTGACTGGTTGGCCCCCCTGGCGCACCTCCACTCCCAGTTGCGGGGCTTGAACCGTCTTCTCCACAGGCCTCACCTCCAATACCCTGAGTTCAATCATACAATAAGCTGTTTAAGTACTTCAAACGTCCCCACCCCCACCCCCCGGAAAAAAATATCCAGGTTAACTAAAAAAAGTACTAATTATAATATAATATTTTATACTAATAGAAATGAAAATTAACAAATTGTTTTTAGAACTTTATATGTATTATATTTTTATTTAAATATATTATTAATTATTTTATATTAATATACCAAACTATTTAACTGATACAAACATATCTTATGATATATTTTTCCGAATATTGTATGATTTTTTTTCCAGGGAACGGAAACTCACATAGATAAGGACCTCTAAGCAAGTGCTTATTTTGTACTTGAAGGTAAATTCGGCCATGGCCATTTTCATGCCACTCTCACACTACAAGAGATACCCTACACTCACTTCCTCCCAGTTTTTAACTATTTCTGACGTAAAATACATAATATAAAATAAAAAAATGTAGAAGTAACCGATCGACAAGGAGAGTTGAACCTTCGGATGGGCATGTGTCGAATTCACGTTACAGTTATATCTTTCACGGACAGGTTGATCACTAAAACTGATGTCACACAGGACAACAGTAGTGTCATCCCTTTCTGTTATAATAATGTTAAGGTGAAAATTATCAGATCGTTTGTACTATTTTGAAGTCATGGCACATTTCTTCTCCTTTATTCACCATTACGTTTTGAATTCACACACACATATACGTTTTGAATTGAAAATTTGATTCAGTTCGTAAAACTTGTCAAAGTAAACCAGAGCATGCCATAGAACGTTTATTGAATACACGTAAGGAGTATTTAGGACCAACTTCAAGAGATATAGGCGGGAACCATTTTGGTTTTCTTCATGGCCGATACAGTAGCTTTGACAGAACCCAAGTACGACGCTGTCCTTTTAAAAAATTCTAACCCCGAGTTGATCCTTTCAATTTTTAGTGACAGATGATGAAATACAATGTGACGTGTATAGTGGGCTGCCTATGACGTGCTGTCACGTCGTGCTTCAAGGGTTATCAATTCCCGAGCTGGCAGAAGCAGTGCAGGACAGGGAGTGGCAAGAATGTAAATAAAATTACCTCCGTTATAGTAAATAAAAATAATTCATTTCTTTTTCTGTCTAATAGTTGGTTGTAATAAATAATACTTTGGCAAAGTTGGATATATGTAGTTATGCAATTAGTGTAAAATTAGATCAATTAATGTCGATTTCAAGGAGTTTGCCGTATATCAATAGAAGTTAATTTGTCAATTATTTTACCCCTATCTTTGGGGCAAGCTAATTAACGAATTAATTGCTAAAGCAGGAGCTTGCAAACCGCATATAAATTACTATTAATTTATTTAAAATACCATTAATCAAACAGCTAATTAGATTAAAAATATTTTTAATCGATTAATAATATTAGTTCAGCACTTCTAATCTCGTTTATCAGTTGTTTTATTACACCTTTTTGATGTTTACGCGATACAAGCTTTCCTGTTGCAAGAAGAAAAGGAAGAAGAGATTTTGGCTAACACCATTCTGTGTGTTTTGTATTTTTCGTAATGAATCATATATTCTGCTCATTATGTCTCGCTTATTAAGCCCCAGAAAAGGGGACTGTGTCAGCTCGTTAACTTGTCAATCTGTTTAACAATTGCCAAGACCAAGAGCGCCCTTTCGCGGAGGGGGGGGGGGACTTACTCCTCCTCCTGGAAGCCCGCCGGCAGCACGTTCCTCCGCGTGCGGTTGGCTGCGAGGGCGGGCGTGATGACCAACGCGTCGGCCTCAGCCTCGGCAGAGGCAGCACCGGGGCCGGGCACCGTGCATTTGGCGCTCAGTATCTCCTTGTCGCCGCCCTGCGCCTCCTCCAACACCACCCGCGCCCAGTACGTGCGGGTGCCCTGCAAACACACACGAATACACTGGCGGATCCAGGGGGGCATGGGGCCAAGCCGCCCTCCTCCCCCCTGAAGGCCAAGAGTTTTCGTTTGTTAATGTCTTTTATTTGGCAACATTGATTTAAATATTTATTTTAGAATTATGTTCTTAATTAAATAATATAATATTGTACAGTATCGCACATACACTATAAAATAGTATACAATGTAATAGAACTGTTTCTTATTTAACGAAAAACTATAATGGCCCCTCCAAAACGACGCAGTCAGCTGCAGCACCGCCGTCTGACGCGTGCGCGCACTTGGCCGGCTCCTGCTTCGGCACGATCGACGACCTCTCAGCGGATGCGGCTGGGTGACACGACAAATAATTCATTGTTTGGGCGGATGGATGGATTGATTGATTGATTGTTCAGGCGGATAGAAAACGTATTGCGGCAGGAAAAGACACCATACGATTAGATAAGCAGCCATCTTTATATTAAAGGGAATTATAATAAAAAAATAGTGTTTAGAAAACAGAAACGAAAAAATTCTATTAACATTTTCGCATTTTTAATATAAAAGTTTTTTTTACAAGACAGTTATTATTATTTAGCATAAAATATTAATAAATGTGAACAAATGACAAACATATTTCCTATATTCATGTCGGAACATCCTCCACTAAAAGAAACAATGTCAATAATGATCAATAAGAAATCGAAGGGAGAGTTTGAATTGTAGGTAGTTTCAAAAGAATTTTCATATTTTACAAGGCAATTCTAAAATTGCTTACCTATTTACATGTTTTTCTCATAATATGAATACGAAAAATAAATTTGAGTAGCTTCTTTAAAATGTGCTTTCTACTTATTTTAGCATCCCACGACTAGTAAAAATTGTATTAATACCAATTATCGCTTCTATGCCTAATATCGCTTACTCGTGTCCCTAAGATGCCATTCACTCCATTTATGGTTTCTTATGTGAAACTTATGTTTCTGGCGTATGCATTTTTAGCACAGCTATGTGCCAGAACTATAAGTTTCACATAAGATACCATATATGGAGCGCACGGCACATTGAAAATACTAGTAGGCGATATTAGGCACAGGGGCGATAATTGGTACACTGACCCTATTAGAAAATGAGTGTGTAAAATGTGTAACCAGCCGGCTAATGGTGGGATTAGTGTTGCTACTGCCAGTAGCTACAAAGAGTCCGTTAACCGGCAGCCCGCCCCACGGAGAGGAGATTCCCGGCCGGCCGGGCGACCGGCGCGTCCTGGCAACGGCGTTCCCGTGACAATGCTGAGCAGCGGCACTTTTCCTTCGCGTCGACACAGGTACTCTGCACACAATGTAAGACACCCTGCCACACCTGCCCAATCTGCAGAGTTGAACCGCGATTCCAGCCGGCTAATGGTGGGATTAGTGTTGCTACTGCCAGTAGCTACAAAGCCCGGGCTTTGAGAGAGGCTGTTCTCGTTTCAAACGTGCCTCGTGTCATACTTCAGGCTGATTTTTTTGTAATTAGTACTGTATTTATTTTCGTAACTATTATTACGTTGATCAAACTAATCAATCATTTACAAGGCAACATTGATTGGTGAAGAAAATGCCTGAAATTTGAGTTTCAAACAGATATTACTTTATTTTATAAGCTATAGATATTGCTCTGTGTATTTTTTGTATGCCTATTTTAAGCATCAATGGATCCAATTAATAGTGTAAAGTGTGGTTACACTCCATGTTAAGTAAATATTTATACTCATATTTATATGATTAGACGCGAATATAACCTTCCTACCTATATCCTGTTCATAGATTTTGAAAAGGCCTTTGACAAAGTCTCTCGGAATAAGTTATGGAGTATTATGCGTAATAGTGGATACCCTAACCACATCATAGAAACCATCAAAAGCTTATATTTTAAAACCACTATCAGTATTGACAAAGGAACAGCGAACAACCTAACTGAATATACAAACCAAGGAGTCAAACAAGGGTGCCCGATGTCTCCGACCCTTTTTAATATATATATCGATCATATTATTCAAGAATGGCAAAGTAAACTAACCACACATTTTAAAATAAGCAATAAAATTTTAAACACTACTCTATTTGCAGATGACCAGGCCATTTTTAGTACTTCAGAAGACGACCTACAGAGAGCTGCCCATTACCTTGAGTTAACAGGGAAAAATTATAACTTGAAGATATCAACCTCTAAAACAAAAACAATGGCACTCCAGGGGAAAAACCATATCAGATGTAAAGTAGCGATAAACGAAAAAGTATTGAACAAGTAAACAACTTTAATTATTTAGGATTTAACATCTCATACTGCGACAAAAAAGATATAAACATAAAGATCCAAAAATTCCAGAAATTGTGCGGTACTATACGCAGAGCACTAAGACAAAAGACCAGACAAGACACCCAACTAAAATTTTACAAAACTATGGCAGTCCCAATGCTAACTTATGGATGCGAAAACTGGACAATCAATAGGTCAGACAGAAGAAAGATCGAAGCGGCAGAAATGAGATTCCTGAGACCATTAGCAGGATATACACTACTAGATCATAAGAGAAATGAAGACATCAGAGGTGAACTACAGATCTCCAGCATACCGGAGAAGATCGACTCAACGAGGAAGAATTGGTTCGAACACCTAACCAGAATGCCACACGAACGGCTTCCAAAGACTATCCTCGAATACAAACCAAAGGGGAAACGATCCAGAGGCAGACCCCACACAAGATGGAAAGAGACTTGAGAGCGGAACGGGCCACTAGGCCCAAACCTTGTTGCTGATGATGATGATGATTTATATGATTATTGTCTGTCACTGAATATTTTATTTTTTACATGCTTATTTATTTATTATGCTTAAATAAAGAGCTTTTCGTGTGCTCTAGGTATTTAGAAATGTTCAGTGGTTAATATCAGATTGGTATTTACTGTAAATTTGAGCTATAAAGCTCTTTATGTATTTGTTTTCAGCTGAATATGAATGTATATATGTACATATTTGTAATTACTATAGTTCCTCAACTCACTACTAGAGTGTGGGTCTGTCACTCTCACCACAATCGATTGTTATTATGTCATTTGTCTATGTGAGCTGCCACTTCCAGCCATAGGCTGCGCTGGCATGCTCAGAAATGTATTAATATTGTGATCCATTTTTTTGTATATAACAGAGCTCCGAGCTCGCTTTAGTTGCTATTCGCCGCCATGCTATTTGAAGTGAAACTTGTATAATTGGGCTTGCCGCCAGCCCATTTTTCTCGTTTTGATTTGTGTCTAAATTAATATTTGAAATTGGCATAGCCCGGCCTTCATGGCTGTAATGCATTAATGTTTTATTCTGGTTTCTCAATGTGGTCTCTCTCTCGCCCACTTTCTGAGATAGCTTTATGGTATAATTATGACATTGGATGTTTGAATTGTTTATGTTGTGTTTCCAATATTATTTGTTACTTGGAAGTTTGAAATTTAATTTTTACCCACCGTAGGAATCCCACCCATCCACCATGCATATCCTTGGTACGATTCCTGCAAAGCTGGTTTCTCAGCTACGTATTCTTCGGTGATGAAGTCGCGATCTTTTGAGAAGTTAGATGTTACTTCTTAAATTCCATTAGACGCGCATTCCCAAATTATTATTGTCACTTCTTGTATCTGGCGACCGTGAAAGTTTATATTTTTAATTTACTTGCCGCTTTAAAATTTAACACCTCGTATTAGTTAGCAACGTCATTAGGTGGATGTAGAGCAAATAACGGCCATGGTTAATGTTTGTAAACCGAGAAGCAAGCTGCGCCTTAAAACGAACCAAATCCGTTAATTTTGATGTCGGCTGTGTTTCGTTCATTACTTTTCGTAATACATTTTTATAATAAAAAATCATATGAATACGAAATGCTGTTTTTGGAGTGCACATAACCGGTAGTTGTAGCGGAACTTTTTTCGATTATTCTTAACGGACGGAGCAATTAAAATCCTTAAGAGTGGTTCCTCTGGTCGCGTTATATCAATATAACGCTGCAGTATTACGAAATAACATTAACAAGCGGCATCCCTGGAATCATAAGGTGCAGGTCAAAATTCATTACGGGGGAAATGCTTTCTTGTCATATGTAAAGTTCATTCATCGTTTCTTTCCCATTCACGCACTATTCTGGAGCGAACGTCACCAGACTACTGCAGATGGCCAGATGCACGTGCTTACTTTAAGGCGGCTCCACACACGCGGCATTCGGCGAATTCCGAGCAACCACTCGCAGAATCCCGAGTAGTGTGGACGGGTTACTTGCGATGCGGGGAGCCGAACATTCGGTATTCGCCCTACGATTACCAATAACGATTACCGTTAAATGATATGCGGATTAAACGAACTGCTCGGCGAATGCCGAATGGGTGAAACCGCCTTTAGACGTTCAGCATTGAACACATGTGTATTTCCAGGAGTATAGAGCGATTTCTATAAGAATGAGCCAAACTGACAGTCCGCTAAACAAGTGAACAATGCAAGTGAACGTGCAACAAGTGAACGTGCGATTCTGAAAAGTATCCCTCCGCCGCGGCAGCTGTTCAACAATACCCCATCGTAAAGTGTTTGATTACGGCTTCCTTGAAGACATCACTATAACGATGTCTAAGAGTTTCGCTGAGGTATATGCACGTACGCGAGTCCGGGAAATATTGAAATTTAATTACGCATGTGGAAAACTGTCTTAACATGCTTTCATATTCAGTAGAACTGCCACGAATGTAAATAGAAAGAAAACGATTTTTCAGCGTATGTTTAAATACCTTTTCTGTTCTTTTCACAGCGAATGGCTCATGCATTTTTGCAGTGATGATGATTAATTTATAATTATAACACATCGACTATCAATACTTAGTACTATGCTTTCATAACTCAAATGTAACTTAATAATTGTTTTTATGTAATGTAATTGTCATTGTAATGTTCTGCATTTCAATGCATTCCTTAATCGTGAACAAGGAGGATGTCTTTTGCGCCCTCTCTGGCGTCTCATGGTTCACAACCGTATCACAATTATATAAGAAATAAAAATAAAAAGCAAAGCACGGAACCACAAAACGCTCTCGATCACAGCTCGCCACCTTACAACAGAGGAGCCGGTACCATGTGCACCTCCACCAGTACGCATCTCACATTGAAGAACCCGTTTTAAAATAAACCTAATACTAAAACTAAATTCAATGTAATGTTTATAAAAAATATTTTTACAGAAGAGCATATAGCATTGCAATTCCTAATTTCAATTATTTATCATGGCGCACTATATTTTCGTCGGACGATAACATCATAAAAGGAAGCGCCGAAGCCATTTACAAGTTGGCCAACTGCAAACGAACGAGTGGAGGAAGGAGAGTAATAGGCTGAAGGACACAACGACCGCAGAACCTTCAGTTGTTGCTAACACTAATTGTCAAAACGGCCCATTCCAATAAAAATCGCTCTATATCACATGGTTGATATTTCAAAAACTTTTGAATAAATGAGTTGCAAATTGCGTTTTAATCGGTGAATTGCACGTACGTCATATATCTATAAAATGCAAGACACATGCCTGACTAAAAAACCAAATCTTTATATATTACTCGCGCAAGTTTTCTTGATACACGAGCTCCCTAGTCCTCATCCAGTGCTGAACAACACGGCACGCTGAGATACTAAGTGCTTATTGATAAACTTCGACTGGGAACGGCACGTACCAATTTACAATGCTGGCAACAACCACCTCGTACTTTCAAAACAATCGTAGCATGCAATAATCCTATCTCTTGGCCCGCTTTGGCGCATTAGGTTCATGCTCACAGTTGGTACGCCCTTTTAAGCCGTGACGTAGCAAGAACCCTCCTCTCCCCGCACCCACCGCTGTGGAATATCAAAACTTGCGCGCATAGTACTAGGATTTGATTCACTAGAAAACTGGATGTCAAAGGAAGTTCACTAGAGAGGTTCTGACTACCAGAGAGTTCGGATCTCATCCTTAAACCTATCTGCAATCTTGATATGGACAAAAGTCGACAAAACACAAATATACGTAAAAGTCCTCAAACAAGCAGCGTAATTATACATTTGTACGTAAGTGGAGAACGTGTCATTGGCATCAGTACTCCCCGTGTTTATGTAACTTCCACCGTACATCTAAATTGGAAAAGAGAGATTTGTCAACGTATTTCAGAACTTACCTCCATCTCAGAAATACTCGTATACAATTTTCGCTATATTGTTTTCATCATTTCATTAAATATAGGTTTGAGTTCTTTTACTTACGGTTTGCTGATTTGTAACGCGTGTTATGCCGCACTGGAACACGTTGTCCAACGGCAAACGGAAACGCGCTACTCCATCAACGATATCTGGCTGGCAGGCAAGTTCTGTAATGATGATGGTGATAATAATAATAATAATAATAATAATAATAATAATAATAATAATAATAATAAATAGAATAGAATATTTATATTACATCAAATTTGTTGTGGGTCCTGATAAGTCAAATTGACTTAACATCAGTTGCCCATAATTACAGAATTGTACAGTATTTTTTTCTTCTTTAAATTCATTATGTTGACATTCTATAATTTTACCTAACATATTAATATGACATAAAACATATTCTTATGTAATATTTTACCATAAATAATTCAATATAATTTTAAAAACATAAAAGTCATATTTGTAACAATTGCAATATTGGTTTTTACAGTGAAATAATCTAAACCTTATTAAAACAATGATTAACATTTCAAATATTTTAATGAATATTTTAAAAATAACAAAAGAAGAATAAAATACATTATAATTTTACTTTTTTATAATTGTTTTAAATTTTGCTCTAAGTCCACATAATTACAATATGTAGGAAAGTATAATATGTATTAAAGTATAATATTATATAAAGTATTTTTTTAACATATTTGAATGAAATAGTGATTACTAATGGAATTCTCTTTTCTAAACTTTTCCCAATCTTTTAGTTCAGAACACTTTTTGAAGATAATTTGAATATTAATTATTATTTGATTGTTGCATTCCATAATAATTCCTTACCTTTCTAGTCTTTTTTTATAGTAACCTCTCTAATTTGATTTTCTAGGTTCTTGGCGCCCGAAACACTGTTCTCTAGACGGAGACTTTCCATAGCACTTTTCATTGAGTTCGTTTTGGAGTCAATTTTGCTTTCATCCCGACATTTTTGGCAACCTCACAGTTCTCTTACCCTTTTTGGTTTTGAAAAGTAGTTTCATATATCGAGCACGTGAAGTGATAGGTCAAGTTGCAGCCTTTGCACACTATTTCTTCTTCATCCAGGCAGTTTTCACAGCGATTGCAATTTATAATTTTACAGATTAATTAAGATAGCAACCCACAGTACACAAGTATAATGAAAAAAATCGCCACACAACACTGTATCACACAAAATCAGAATATAAATGACACAGAGCAGAGACGCCACGAGTCAATATGGAAGCATGTCCGTTCACTTCGAATGATAATAACAATAAGAAGAAATCCAACGGGCCAAGAAGCGGAAGAGGGTCCCTGGATTCCAACGGTTCCTGGCGCGGAAGAGACCTCAGAGGAGCATACCCCTATAAAATACCTGGGCTCAGCTGACCCCGGCTGTAAGCACCCAGCAACGCCCCAGCCTGGGGTCACAGGCGAAGATCCAGCGAGGGTCCACTCATGGTGAGGGCTACCCCCACAGAACTCTAGGCATTTCCCTCCTCTTTTCCCCTTATTCCGGAAGAAGAGGGAACCTGAGTCTCGGAGAAGCTCTGGAAAGCAGCCACTAGGAGTCAGGAAGCCTCGGCCTCATCTGGTGATGGGGTTGCCCCGGACGCGGAAAGACGACAGCCCCATTATGCTGACATTTGCTACGAACCATCGAACAAGTAGAACGAGTCGAACAGAGACAACCACCAGCAAGAGTCAACTGCTCGCAATGGTTTAGCGGCAGCACAGCCGTTGACCACCAGAGCAGGACTGCCTCGACAGAAGGTACAATGCAATGTGGAAATGAACCAATTCCTACTGCGCACTTATTATAGAGTGACTCGCTGAGAAACAGAATTGACTGGATATAGGCAGCTCTTTCATTCGCGATTCGTACAACAGATTCCGTATCTACCTGTACTGAACAGGAACTATCTAGCTTTAATTGGGCGCAATAACCTGTTGCCATTCGCAATACGACAGCGTATACTGCAAGAAGTTGAAGAAGAGAGAGAACAACACTCCGAAGATGATCTAAATGCCAGAACAGTGCCAGAAGACGCACAGTTCTGACGAGCAGTCCAGAGGGACCACTCATTTCCCAATAGATTGATGTAATAAAACAGCAAATGGATTTTGAGTTAAACAACATGCTGACCAAATTCAACGGGTTAATGCCAGAAAAGAGACGAAGTAGACCCAAACAATTAATGTTCTTAAAACTGAGAGATCTGATGAATATCATGAGTAACTCTGTTCGCCCATTTACGATTGCAAACATTGTCACCTATTCAGATATAAATTCGTGTTGATACAGCTCAGCAGATCGTTAAATTAAACGGGGACAGCCTGAAAGAAACGTACGCGAGTTGTCAGAAGCCAAACTTAAAGTGAAAGAAACCACCATGGGAAAGGAGATGAGAACAAAAAAGATGTGAGTTGACAGCTGTCGCCGGAATAATAACAGCCTATATTAACAACAGAAATAAGGCACGAGAAGAAAACGCACACCATTAGAAAAGCACGCTCAATTTCATAAACCAAAGAGCATACCATCGGAATATGTAGACAAAGTCAAACACATATTGAGCGCGTATGCAAAACAGTTGAGAAGTTATAGAAAAAGTCAGAAGAGAAAGGAGCATAATGCCAACTTCAAAAGAGACCAGAAAACATTATATAAATCTTTACACGTGCAAGATGCTGAAACAAACTTGACGTCAACCATAGAAGAAATCGATGTCTACTGGGGAGGGCTAGACTTAGCACGTCTATAGTTCCAAAAATATACAAAATACATCCCATTTCTGTGCAACCGTCACAACAATGTGGAAGGCAGATATTGTATTAATAACCAAGGAAGTGAATATTATGTCAAATAAAATTAACATCAATAGTGGTATCTTCCAAGGAGATTCTATGAGCCCACTTTGGTTTTGCTTGGCTCTGAATCCGCTATCTATCATCCTCAACAGCAGTAAATATGACTATGAGATAAAAGGTCAGCACTCATACAGACTTTCCCATCTGGCGTATATGGACGATATGAAGCTGTATCCATCAACAGCCAGTTCGTTGAAGCAGTTCCTCAATATCAGAATGTGTTTTAGTGTAAATGCATGTAGAACGGTTAACGTGGTACGTGGCAAATTAACGAGGGGACTGTAATACGAGACGCAAAGAAGCGATCTTATTAAATGAATAAAATTTGAAGTGTATAAGTATCTTAGTAGTATCTTAGCAGTCTCGAACAGTAGCGGAAGTGAAGAAACGTATAACCGCATAATTCAAGAACCAACTCACAAATGTTTTTAAAACGTCTTGGAATTCACGAAATATTGCCACTGCAATAAATACATTCGCAATTCAACAGTCTCTTATCTATTTATAACTTGAAAATCCAGGAATACGTAACGCTAACTCAAAACTTCGCAATCAATGGAGACTTCAGACTATCGGCATACAACCGATAATCACGACCACCACAGGATTAATACCAAAACACACTGTGCATGCAATTCAAGTGTTGGAATTTACCATTTTTTGCGTAGAGAAAATGCAAAAATCAGTAATAATAGACGGCTACAGAAATTCCTGAGATGTACGGCTGATTGGGACACGATTGATTGAAATGTCAAGAGTGTAACATTGGTTCGTGTCTTGTCTCCGGTTCGACCGAGCCTAGACAGCAATGGTCAGATGAATGTTCCAGCACATAGTGCAGAGAGTGAAAAATTCGGTCAATAATAATAAATATTGTAAATACTGTTTATTAATACTTGTAACGTCAAAAACACTACTATTTATTATACAGCAATTCTACTCTAACATTGATCAACAATGGTCTTATATTATTCAACAATTCTACTCTTATGCTGATGAAAGTAATGTCGCATTTAAGTTTAAGGATATATTAGCGATCGCAGAATAGCCAAGAACACGTAGACTGGAAATTGTTTCAAACCAGGCAAGAATTTATTCTGCTTGAAGCCCAAGATACTTTCGTGGCCTTTTACAGCTAATGTTTTTTATTTATTGATTCAGGTTTAGTGGCCCTTCAACTAGTAAGATAATCGAGGTCCGTGAGTAATGGTCTAATGAGTGGATGACAGTTACGATGATGATGAAATAATGATTATGGAGAAGAGGTGGTACGAGCTGCAAAGAGCTCGTCTGGGCGCGTTATCCGCCGAGATCATTAGTTCTGTAAGTATAGTATGTTTTCCCATCTGGAGATGGCGATCTTCCCCAATGGATTCCCTTTGAAGATCCGAAACCGACCGAGGCCAACAAAAGACTCTTTCGTTGGCAACGCGATCGATAGTTGGTTGGTGGGATTTTCCTCAACTCGGTATCTCGCCCCAGCGGGGCACCGCTCCACCCGAGACAAGCTCTCCCGACAGGTCTCCCAGCAGCATGTTTCGACGTTGTACTAGACTAGCGAATAGCACTTAATTTAGAGCTCTCTGATTGGCCAGTAATGGCAGCGCACGAAACGCAAGTGGACACATCTCTCTGATACACAAACTCTCTGAAGAGGCAGCTGATGCTGGCTCCAAAAAGATAAGTGGTACACAAATCTAGTGGCGTCTAGTGGCGTCAGTGATAAATGAAAACATGCGTACGGCGCTTTAAACAAAATTTGTGAGGTTTGTCAAGGCTGGTTAATGTATATTATGTATATAATGTTCCGACGTACATAAATACAACTCAAAAGGATAACCTACATGTTCCCCACTCTGAAACTACACTTTATCAACTACCTACCCCAATAGAGGGCATTACACTTTACAACTAAATGGGGGATGATATTTAAGACAAACACAATTCATACATTTAAAAGTAAATTGAAAGCTTTTCTGCTTAACATGTTCTACAGTATAAAAGGATATTCAAATCACAACAAAATTTCCTTTAAAAAATATAAATAAATAAGATTTTCTTATCCCATTAGACTTTCTGTTTCATGTAAACTGTTTCGAGCTGAAGCAAAGAAAAAAAGAACTGGCATATCGCATCCTGTGACGTATAAGGAGAATTATTATTATTATTATTATTATTATGATTATGATTATTATTATTACTATTATTATTACTATTATTATTATTATTATTATTATTATTAAGCAGCATTAAAATGAAAATAACATCCTGAAAT